GAATGTAAGAGGAGCTATCACACAGCCCATGGCTGTGCCTACTAGCTGACTTACAAACATAGACTTGGCTGATGAAAGTGTAAGATAACCTGTCTTGAAGTCTTGCATAAGATCAGCAGCCGTCGAAACGATCGACATCATAACACCGCAAGCTGCTAATCCAGCAATAACCCCGCCATTGTTTCCGACTAGGGAAGCAAATAGAAACAGACCAAGCTTTCCATATGTTGACGACAAATTCCAGTCGGTTAAACCAGTGCCGTAGGAGTTGCAGAAAGCAAGGGCCGGGGCGACAATGTAGGCACCAAGAACCAAATACCACTTCAGGGGCGGGAAGATCATCGGCATTGTCGCCGTCGATATCGCTGCTAGACCAACATACCCCGACGCAGCCAACCATGTCGGTATTCTATCTTTCAGAAACACCTCATCCTTCTTTCTTTCCTCAGCTAGCAGTTTAGAACCCTCACTATCTGCCGTTTTAGACATCAAAACTATTGTAAATGCAAGATTTCCAGAGAACCAAAGGGTTTGATGTCAAATATAAACAATAAAATCACAAAACAGAAGGCCAATCTCGATCGAACTTCAAAACGACGATGCATAATCAGTTCATAAGCCAAGAAACGAGCTACATCAACCTAGTACTAGAACGTAAGATCGTACCTAGGAATCCGCAAATGATATCATTGGACTCAACGCCTAATTAACCGCTAACTTCTTCACTAAGAACTCGATAATCTTCATCATTATTTACGATAACCATTTCAATGGGAAGGCATATGCGATAAAGCCAAGCAAACGAAATCTAGGAGTAAGTAACAAAAACATCGACTCGAAAAACGACTTCACGGTAAAACGCTCACCTGTGGTCTCTGTTAAGACAGGCAAGTTACTCCGTGTGGTCCTTTTGTTGCAAATTTCTTTGATAGTAAGTGATATGATTTTGATCAGATTATAAAGGCCATCGCCGAGGATGAGAGAAATCGCTATGAAGACCTGCAGAGAACCAGAACGAACAGCACTCGAAATGAAAATCGACTGAAGACATAGATAGTCTAGAATGTAGCAAAACACTTGGAGGCAACACAAACATTCTCATTTGATAGCACGTAAACCCGAAGTTAAATTAGAATCGTTATAAGTCGATGTGCTAAAATGTCGGGGAATGGTGCTTAGTCTAGAGCGTTCGAAACTTAAAGTACCTTATATCCATAAAGTCCCTTAAAGTCATTGCTCCCAAGGTCAGCTGGATACCAGTCCCCAGCATGTTGAGTAATGAATGGCCAAAGAAACCCCCATGATATAATGGCTCCAAGGAGAACAGAGCAGTTTACAATGTGAGGACAAATGAGGCCACAACCCACATACGTCGGACTGAAGTCGAAAAAAAACCTACACGAAAAGAAATAATTAATTACACAAATCAACATTGCTCGGTTGAGTTATACATCATTAATCAATTTGCTTCCATTGTATTAGAAATACATCTTCCTTGTAACAGCCCAAGCCTACCGCTAGTAGATACTGTATGTTTTGGCCTGTTACATATCGCCGTTAGCCTCATGGTTTTAAAACACGCCTACTACGGAGAGGTTTCCACACTCTTATAAGCCACCCCCCTTAGGGCCCAACGTCCTCGCTGACACACCGGTCGGGGTCTGGCTCTAATACCATTTATAACAACCCAAGCATACCGCTAGCAGATATTGTCCGTTTCGGCCCGTTACGTATCGTCGTTAACCTCATGATTTTAAAACACATCTACTAGGGAGAGGTTTCCACACCCTTATAAGCCACCCCCCTCAGGGGCCCAACGTCCTCGCTGGCACACCGGTCGGTGTCTGGCTCTAATACCATTTATAACAACCCAAGCATACCACTAGCAGATATTGTCTGTTTTGGTCCGTTACGTATCGTCGTTAGCCTCACGATTTAGAATACGTCTACTAGGGAGAGACTTCCACACCCTTATAAGCCACCCCCCTTGGGGTCCAGCGTCCTCGCTGGTACACCGCTCGGTGTCTAGCTCTAATACCATTTGTAACAGTTCAAGCCTACCGCTAGCAGATATTGTCCGTTTTGGCTCATTACGCATCGCCATCAGACTCACAATTTTAAAACACATCTACTAGAGAGAGGTTTCCACACTCTTATAAGCCAACCCCCTTTGGGAGCCCAGCATCCTCGCTGGCACACCACTCAGTGTCTGGCTCTAATACCATTTGTAACAACCCAAATCTACCGCTAGCAGATATTGTCCGTTTTGGCCCGTTACGTACCGTCGTCAGCCTCACGGTTTTAAAACGCATCTACTAGGGAGAGACTTCCACACTCTTATAAGCCACCCCCCCTAGGGCCCAGCGTCCTCGCTAACACACGGCTCAATGTCTGGCTCTAATACCATTTGTACAGCCCAAACCTACCACTAGCAAATATTGTCCGTTTTGACCTATTACGTATAGCCGTCAGCCTCACGGTTTTAAAACTCGTCTACGAGGGAGGGGTTTCCATACTCTTATATTCCTCCTCCATGGGGCATATTATCTTAAAAAGGCTCAAAGAAGTCAAGGAGTAGCAAGACTTACGTATTCTTATATAATTCCAAGCCAAGAGTGGGAAAATTATCAAATCCACACGAATCTCCAACACCACTGAAGAACCACTTAAAACAGCTCCAAAAGAAACTTATTCCAAGATATTTTCCAAGACAATGTACCTGCTTTCTGCGACCAAAAATGAAAGCAAACAGGTGTGAGCTGCCATGGGAAACATCCACTTAATTGCCCACAATGAAGATCTCATTTATCTTCGAGTTCAACAATCTTACCCCGCAAGCTCCGCTCCGGTGTTCGTATGAAAACTATTTATCAGCATCGCCGTGGCTGTACCACTGGGGTATGTAAGCTTGTAATCCAAGACCATCACCTGAACTCATCCAACACGAGACAATAAAATAAAAATTCATGAAACGATAATCAAAAAGTGATATAACACGAGTGGTCGAATTAACTTGAGCACACTTCAACTGATATCACAAGATTTCTTAAGAAAATCATAGGCTTTCAAAATACGGTGGCTAACAAGGAATTTTGTGATGTCCTACATTGGTTCGGGAGGAGAACAAACCACCATTTATAAAGGTGCGGAAATCTTCCCCAAGCAGACACGTTTTTAAAGCCTTAAGGGCAAGCCCGAAAGGGAAAGCCCAAAGAGGACAATATCTGCTAGCGGTGGATCTGGGTCGTTACAAATTTGCACTTGTTCTACCAGTCCCATTTTTTTTCACATGCCCCAAGCATTCAAATACTTCAAATCATTCATTTGAGCAGCCAATGTAATGCAAGAATTCATATCAGGTTCCAATGCAATAGATTTAAGCTCACCATAATTCTCTCAAAAGTGCATTAAACCATGATTTTCTTACAGAAGCAGATCATACATCAGATGAACTAATCTGGTAAAGGGTTATTTGTTCGCCCAAGAACAAGCTTTAGTAATATCTTTCGATTACATGGATTATAGTATGGTAAGCAAGGATATAGTTTAAGTTTCAAATGAGTATCTATACGTTAGGACATCGGTTTTTGTCGATTTCTTAACCAACGAGAAAAAACGGTAGAACAGACATGCTGAAAGTCAACAAAAGCTTATAATATTCACCTTTCGCAATGGCACAAGACTAAACAGCCCAAGGAAACTGACAACAAACAAAAAGCCAATCATCCACGCCAATCCTGGGTTTATCACATCTTCTGCTCGGTTACCGGGATAATCTGTGCCAATTAACTTATACGTTCGTTCATCCATTGCAATCAAATACGAACCAAATCCTCCTGAAACGAGATGAAAATTTTCGAATTGGATTAAACGGAAAAACATAAAGAACCCACATCGGTCGGAGTTTATCGCTCGTAATACACGAAGATTAGAGCGAAAGTCAGTTCATATCACATTTCTAAATTGAAGACGAGTTCATTTGTTTCTTTCCCAAGTCAACCAGTGAATCCTGACAAACTAAAGTAGACAAAGATTCAATACAAACAGTGACAGAAAGTGAAATTCAGCTAGTTTTCAACACATCCCAACATTCAGCTAGTCTTTACAGACAATCTTTCCCAAATTTCTATGGCGAAATGTTTTCCTACAAGTAAGTCAAACTAGATGGCTCCAAGAAAACCAATAGAAAACGCTTACACAATAAGGAACAGTTCTTCAGGCTCCACACTTAAAAGGGTACAAAAATTTTCAAAGCAATAGATAATCGCTTACAGTGAATCATCTCAAAAGCACAAGAAGACGCTGAGATAAACTAAATGGTTCATGACAAAGAAGAACAAGAGAGATTACCACTGAAGGCCAGGCCGTAACAAGCCACAACACATGTCTGAATGACAGTGTTTTCTTGCTTGGTAAAGGGTGTAACAGAGAATCCGAGTTTGGACAAAACCCCAGTCCATGATTTGACGAAGAAGAAACCCAATAAACCAGCGGCGACGTTCAAGGATGGGATGATCCCCACCGTCAGATTCAGCTTATGGGTAATGATACAGAACAAAGTCCCTAACAAAGCACTCACAGCCAACCCTCTGATCGTGATTTGCTCTTTCCATTCTGGGATTTCTTCAAAATCATCCGATTCAATGGATCCATTATTCTGAGGCTCCACTAACAACGGTGTTGATATCTCTAAACGATTATTCTCTGTACCCATTGGGATTCTTCTTTGATTTCTTCCCCCTTTTTTCCTGATAAGATTCAGAGATTCAATCGACTGGTACCCTTGTAATCCTACGCTTTTGAAGGGCGAATATGGATTCCTTAACGTGGACGGATCATCCTTTTGATGGGTTTGTTGGGATGTGTGCCTCAGAAGATATGAAAAGGAATTGATTCATTGGAACGTGTGCTGTTACTGTATTGGAATCAGTTGTTTAATTAGCCTGTGCAGGTCAGATTTGCATCATTTTCACCGCTAATTAAATATCTAAGCTAACTATAGTTCATTAAACAGAACAGATCCATTGATTTTTTAATTAACTCGTTTCTTCCATGTTGTAATTAAGAAAAAGGTTACGTCTTTTAATCTCAAAATCAAAACCCAACAAAATTCTATTACTTAATTTCCTTTTAGAACATTGATGGGTCGTTTTAAAAATTAACTTTACTGTGTTCATCAATGTGGAAATATTTGTTTGTTTGCCTTTCTCCACCTTCTTTGGGTTAAGTAACTTAATTTAGACACTAATCTGGATTTTCATTGGCCTATTAAACAAATTCTTTATTAGTTCTATAGTTTAAGAGAGAGAGAGATTGGAAGGGTGTTGTTTGGCACATGGGTTTTGCTGAAAGACGAGAATAATGCGAAGAGCGGCGTTAGTATTTGACTCCAATATTTTCCGGGAAAAAGAAAAATTTCCCGGGAAAATTTCCCAGAATCTTCTCTGATCAGCGAAGAACGATGTAGGGTTTGCTTCGAATTTTCCCTTCATTCAATGTAAGTTCACTTCCTTCGACATTGAGGAACTTTGATTTACAAGTTTTTGTGGGGATTTCTACACGAAGGGGCCATTGTCAAGTATTCAAACAGTACTAGTTCATACAGAATCTGGCTGTAAAGAGTGTTGATGTTTAATAAGAGTAGAATAATTTGCTTGAACAGTTACCTGACTAGAAATTTTTGCTTGAAGTTATAGAAAAATGAGATGAGGAGTCGATTTACTTAGTGTTTTGATGAAAGCATTAGTACTGAAGTGTTTTATTTGCCCCATTTCCTGTTGAAGTTATGGAGAAGTATATGATTGTTTGGCTTTACAGAGTTCATAATTTTCATGTTCTTGGCCTTTCTTTGTTTGGTATTTCGTTACAAACAATTTATTTCTCTGTTTTTTCGAGCTGAGTTTGTTCATGTTATAATGAAACTCAAGTGGAATTACACCCAATAGCTTTTCTTTTGTTCAGCTGTTTGTCTTCCACTCCAACATAGCTACAAACTTCAAAGGGACTGTCAATGGATGGGATTGAGGTTCAATCCAGAAACATCCACTTCCAATGGATATGGTCCATCAGCTCTCGTTTCTGTCCATCTAGGCAGCATCCAAGTAGAGATAGGAGTAGCAAACAGTCGAGGAGGAGCACGCCGCCATTAAACATGGAACTTGGTTTGGCATCAGTATTGTGAGATCCCGCATCAGTTGGGGAGGAGAACAAAGCATTCTTTATAAGCGTGTGGAAACCTCTCCCTAGTAGACACATTTTAAAAACCTTGAGGGAAAGCTTGAAAGAGAAAACCCAAATAGGACAATATCTGCTAGCGGTGGGCTTGAGCCACTACAAATGGTATTAGAGCCAAACACCAAGCAATGTGTCAGCGAGGAGACTGAGCCTTGAAGGGGAGGAGAACGAACATTCTTTATAAGGATGTGGAAACCTCTCCCTAGCAGACACGTTTTAAAAACCTTGAGGGGAAACTCGAAAGGGAAAACCCAAATAGGACAATATCTGCTAGCGGTGGGCTTGAGCCACTACAAATGGTATCAAAGCCAAACACTAGGCAATGTGTCAGCGAGGAGACTGAGCCTTGAAGGGGGTGGACACAAGGCGATGTGTACGCTAGACTCCGAAGGGGGGTAGATTGGAGGGTCCCACATCGATTGGAGAAGGGAATGAGTGCGAGTGAGGACGTTAGGCCTCAAAGGAGGGTGGATTGTGAGATCTCACATTAGTTGGGGAGAAGTATTCTTTATAAGGGTGTGGAAACCTCTCCTTAAAGGGTTTGGAAACCTCTTCCTAGCGTGGAAACCTCTCCCTAAATGATGTGGAAACCTCTCCTTAAAGGGTTTGGAAACCTCTTCCTAGCGTGGAAACCTCTCCCTAAATGGTGTGGAAACCTCTCCTTAAAGGGTTTGGAAACCTCTTCCTAAGCAGACGAATTTTAAAAACCTTGAGGAAAAGTCTAAAGAGGACAATATCTGCTAACGCTGGGCTTCTACACATCTTGCCCGCTGTATGTCATGTAGTTAATATTTTTTTCTCTTTCTTTTTTACTTTCCCTTTTCTCTATCTAGCAGGCTAACTGCGGGAACAAATGTCCTGCATGTTAGATGCTGAATATTACTTGTAACAATCTGCAGACATGTAAATGTTTACACAAAGAATCTAGATGCTATCTGGTGCATATGAACAGCAAAGGGATAACAATAAAATTTGCAAGGAGGCAACAAGGACAAGATAAGGTAGCTAACTGTCAGTAAACCTACACCTTTGGTTGCTTGAAGTACAGATACAAGCAAGAATTTAGGAAGAAAAAAACACTCTAGAGAAAAGATGAGCAATAAATGACTCAGAGTTCTTAAGTTGGAGACTTAGTGCTAAGGTAAACCCCCATATGAATAAGAGAGGGAGAAAAACATGATCTGGCATTGAGAAACTTAGTCACCAGCCTAGATGTTCAGTGTTACGGTCATGTTTGTCCAAGGTGTGTTGCCTATGGCCGTATGGCTGATATCCCGGTCTTGCTTGTCCAGGACGTGTTGTCCATGGTTGCATGCCTGTACCAAACCCCTTTTACACTTTCATCTTAGATAGGCCTTTACCATTTCAAGTTGGGTCAATACGGGGTGAATGACCGTTCACCAAAACCATGTCTACACTTGCAAGAGCTAAAATGCCCAAAAATGTATTGCAGGGGGATATGACTAGTTGTCACTTCTTCCTACCTTGAGTTATATGCTATTTAAGCCGTGATATTTCTTTATGTGCTTATAGTCATATAACGTTGCTTTCTTCAATTCTTCAAATCGTTTTCAAATGTATTTCCTCGCTCACGTTTTCTAAATCTTTTCTTGCAATGTAACTCGAGGCCCGAACATACGTCAACGTTGTTCACAACGTCCGAATTTCTGACGGTTGACTTGTTTGTTTGGTTAGAACAAGTATCACACAATTGCAAGAGTGCGATTGTGATACTTGGCAAACTACGGCAGTGTTGTCGTCATTAGTTCTAACTTTCAATACCTTCACATTGATCATAGTAATCAAATCATGAACCCAGATTTGCTACATGATAGCTATGTCTTAACTTCACCAAATTGGATTTCCTCTATGGAAGCTGTAATTTACTCTCTTATTCTAAATAATTCAACAATCCAAACAATTTTGGAACTGTGGGAACACAGCCAAATCCTCAATTCAAAGGTACAGTATATTAATAGATTACGTGTTCATCAGCCATTGAATATGAGAAATAGGAAATCCCTGAATTTCGAGATTTCCACGTGGAATTCACATGTCCACATCTTGATCATACATGGATCCAGCTACAGCCATACCCCACCAATGGACTCACATTTTACACAGTTTTGCATTTGTCTTAGAGTGGATGCCTTGTCTCTTGGTCTCCAAATGAGGCAACTCACTTTGTTTCTTAGTAACTTGTAGCTTAGCTGAAAATAAGGATGCTAACTTACTGACTTAAAGGTCATTGGTAGATTTTGATGGCAGATTGGCAGGCTTGTCAGTGCCCGTCAATCATAGTTATCGACAATGGTTGGGAAGAACATGTTCACAAACTATGTAGTGAACTCTTGATGAATATGTTGGCTTCAATGATAAGTTGAACGGAACGAAAAATACGGTATCTAGTCGTTATTGAAAATCCTGGCTTTAGTTGAATAAACTGATGTGTATCATCAGGTTATACTATTGATCTGATAAAGTTCTCTTGGTTGGATAATGAGTAGAGTATAAGGGAATGAATAGTTCAGCTGTGATATATTTGAACCTCAGATGAAGGACTCCCGGGCAGATAATGTGAGATCCCACATCGGATGGGGAGGAGAACGAAACATTCTTTATAAGGGTATGGAAACCTCTCTCTAGCATATGCATTTTAAAAACTTTGAGGGGAAGCCCAAAAGGGAAAGCCCAAAGAGGACAATATCTACTAGCGATAGAATTGGGTTGTTACCAATGGTATCAGAGCCAGAGCCAGACACTGGGCCCCGAGGGGGGTGGACATGAGACAGTGTGCCAGCAAAGACGCTGGGCCCCGAAAGAGGTGGATTGGGGGTCCCACATCGATTGGAGAATGGAACGAGTGTCAGCGAGAACGTTGGGCACTGAAGGGGGGTGGTTGGGGAGGAGAACGAAACATTGTTTATAAGGGTGTGGAAACCTCTCTCTAGCGAACGTGTTTTAGAAACCTTGAGGGGACCGTTAAGTATTCATTATCATAACCATTAGTGCTAATCATCTCTGCAGCCAACAATATCAAACAAGCATAACTTCTCTCTCAATCTATCTAGAATGACATGGTAGGCTTTCTAGATTAAACACTTTTTCTGATATAAGCAATCATGAGATTCTATCAACCAGTTTGGTTAGTGTTTGTTTGAAGAAAGATATGAGTATCTATATCTCTTTTTAAGTATGTCCATGGAGGATAGCTACACATTCAACACTGTGTCTGTGCAACCTAAACTCGACACGTATGCAAACTCATCACGCTATAAACTTCGACTTGGAGGTATTCGAACAACTCTCCTATTTTTCCACATGGTTTGATGTTGAAAATAATTTCCAACCAAATTTTTTGTAACTTTCTATATGTTTCTTTGCTCAGTTCTTCAAGATCATTCTAGGAATCCACTGAATTCCAACTCATTAACAGTTCCTCAAATATCTATACCTACTTTTAGTCCTCTATTTATGTCTCCTATGATGAGCTGAGTATCAAGCCCTTGAAGAGAGCACAAAAAGATGAAGGTAAGTGAAGAGTTCATGCACTTCCAGATTTATAACCTTTTTCATTCTATCCTTTAATGTTGCCTTTCATTGCTGCAGTTATTAGGATGGATGCACAACAAGTTTTGGCAAAGTGGAATCGAGTCTGTCAAGGATTTCACTATTGGTATTCCGTCAACCTCTCGCTCGAACATTTCTTTTTCTAACTATTAGTATATATTATTGAGGATTGTTGGAAGAGAAGTCCCGTATTGGCTTACTAAGGGGTTGATCATAGGTTTATAAGTAAGGAATACATCTCTGTTGGTATGAGGCCGTTTGAGGAAACCAAAAGCAAAGCCATGAGAGCTTATGCTCAAAGTGGACAATATCATACCATTGTGGAGGGTCTTTGATTGCTAACATGGTATCAAAGTCATGCCCTTAACTTGGTTATGTCAATAGAATCCTCAAATGTCGAACAAAGAAGTTGTGAGCCTCGAAGATGTAGTCAAAAGTGACTCAAGTGTCGAACAAATGGTGTACTTTGTTCGAGGGCTCTAGAGAAAGAGTCGAGTGTCGATTAAGGGGAGGCTGTTTGGGGGCTCTATAGGCCTTAGGAGAGGCTCTATGATATACTTTGTTCGAGGATTGTTAGAAAAGGAGTCCTACATTGGCTAATTAAGGGGTTGATCATAGGTTTATAAGTAAGAAATACATCTCCGTTGGTATGAGGCCTTTTGGGGAATCTAAAAACAAAGCCATGAGAGCTTATGCTCAAAGTGGACAATGTCGTACCATTGTGGAGGTTTGTGATTCCTAACATATATCTTATCATAGCACATCGGGATGATTAAGATGTACTCTTCAAGTTCTGTTGTCGTAGGGATTTATCTGGTTGGCATAGTTTGATATCCTATACGAAGATTTGTAGCTGGTTGAGAACTTAAATTAGGGAACAATCGTGCGAGTACGAACAAAGTTAGAGATAAGCAGCCTCTAGGGTCACCCTCACACCATCACAAGTATAACATCTAGAAATTTCTACAACGTTTCATACCGTTATAATCCGTCTAGCTTAAGCTTGAACTCTGGCTGCACATGATGTTTCAAGGAAACATGACAGTTCCATTCTCTCTTCAGCATTTGGGGCCACTTGGGGACCTGTAGGAACCTCTCACTCTCAAGCCACTTTCTCTACTGTTAAAACTTCAGAATTACATCACTATTAGATTGGTCCACTGTAGAATGGAAATGTGAGATCCCACATCGGTTGGGGAGGAAAACGAAACACCCTTTATAATGGTGTGGAAACCTCTCCTTAGCAGACGCGTTTTAAAAAACTTTGAGGGAAAGCCCAAAGAGGACAATATATGCTAGAGGTGGGCCTGGGCCGTTACAAATGGTATCAGAGTCAGACATCGGGAGATGTGTCAGTGAGGAGGTTGTTCCCCAAAGGGGAGTAGACACGAGGCGGTGTGCCAGTAAGGACGTTGGGCCCCGAAGGGGAGTGGATTTGGTGGGAGTCCCACATCAATTGGAGAAAGGAACAAGTGTCACCGAGGACGTTGAGCCCTGAAGGGGGGTGGATTGTGAGATCCCAAATCGAGCCGGTGTGCCAGTAAGGACACTGGGCCCCGAAGGGGAGTGGATTTGGTGGGAGTCCCATATCGATTGGAGAAAGGAACGAGTGTCAGCGAGGATGTTGGGCCCTGAAGGGGGGTGGATTGTGAGATCCCATATCGAGCCGATGTGCCAGTAAGGACACTAGGCCCTGAAGGGGAGTGGATTTGGTGGGAGTCCCATATTGATTGGAGAAAGGACCGAGTGTCAGCGAGGACGTTGGGCCCTGAAGGGGGGTAGATTGTGAGATCCCATATCGGTTGGGGAGGAGAACGAAACACCATTACTCTCCCTAACAGACGCGTTTTAAAAACCTTGAGGGGAAACCCGAAAGGGGAAGTCCAAAGAGGACAATATTTGCTAGCGGTGGGCTTGGGCTGTTACAGGAAATAAGAAAACGACACTCAACTCGCACTGTCACACTAATGAACAAAACGAGAATTTGTTTCTATCTTTTTGAAAAAGAAATCTTAGTTGATTCCAAAAATACTAAACTTTTTATTTGCTTTTGTTTCAGCGAACCCATGCATGTGCCTATCAGTACAAGCACTTGTTAATGATGAAGACATCTATCTGAAGCCAGATTTTGGTTCCAAAATCATGCAGCTTCACAGTCAGGACTATGAACAATCATCTTTTGAAGAAAAAAGTGAAAACTTATCTAATTCATCTGATTTCTTCCATGAGTTCCTCACTATCGGAACTCTCGGTTCCGAACCCGCAACGCCAACATTTTCCTTGGCTTTTGAAAACATGATAGCGTTGCCAGACGAGGTGACAGAGGATGAACTAAAACTGATAAATTTTGAGCTAGAAAAGTGTCTTAAAGCTGAAACTAAAGAAGACTGTTGCGAGCAATCGCCCGGGCGGGCAAGTCATGCTAGTATTATCACGCTTGCATGTAAGCATACAGAAGATGATGGGAAGACACTAACATGTCCACTTCAGGGGTATCTATTTGGATCTACAATAGAGCTTTCAGACAAGATGATAGCCATGAGTAAAGAAGAACCTTCATCTGCAGCACGTGAGAGTTCCAAAGTGGATATTGATAAAAAGGAGGTATTGATTAAGCATTCAAACAAATCTGCACTAAGCTTTGTGAAGAAGATGCTGAAGAAACTGCGTACTTCCACATATGAGTCAAGTGATTCATATTCAACCAAGAAGAAACTCCAAAAGGTTAGTTTCCAATAGCTTTACTGTTCTTTTTACATTAAAAATAGTGTTCTTGAATGTTCATTGTGATTCATCTAGCACTAGCACGTAATGGTCCTGTGAGATCCCACATTGGTTGGGGAGGAGAACGAAGCATTCTTTATAAGGGTGTAGAAACTTCTCCCTAGTAGACCTGTTTTAGAACCTCGAGGGGAAGCCCGGAAGGGAAAGCCCAAAGAGGATAATATCTGTTAGCGGAGGGCTTGGGCTGTTACAAATGGTATCAGAGCCAGACATCAGACGAGTGCTGGCGAGGACGTTGGGCCCTGAAGGGAGATGGATTGTGAGATCCCATATCGGTTGGAGAGAGGAACAAAACACTCTTTATAAGGGTGTGGAAACTTCTCTCTAGTAGACGCGTTTTAGAAACCTTGAGGGGAAACCCAAAAGGGAAAGTCCATAGAGGACAGTATCTGCTAGCGGTGGGCTTGGGCTATTACAAATGGTATCAGAGCCAGATACCGGACGAGTGTCAACGAGGACGTTAGGCCTCGAAGAGGGTGGATTGTGAGATCCCACATTGGTTGGAGAGAGGAACAAAGCACTCTTTATAAGGGTGTAGAAACCCCTCCCTAGTAGACACGTTTTAAAAACCTTGAGGGAAGTCCAGAAGGGAAAGTCCATAGAGGACAATATCTGCTAGCGGTGGGCTTGGACTATTACAAATGGTATCAGAGCCAGATACCGGACGAGTTCCAGCGAGGACGCTGGGCCTCAAAGGGGTGGATTGTGAGATCCCACATCGGTTGGAGAGAGGAACAAAGCACTCTTTATAAGGGTGTAGAAACCTTTCCCTAGTAGATGTGTTTTAAAACCTTGAGGGAAAGCCCAGAAAGGAAAGTGCATAGAGGACAATATCTACTCGCGTTGGGCTTAGCCATAAAAAACAGCATGGTAGAACTCATCCATAACACTAATTCAACTAGAATCAATATCTTTGTCCAGCTTTCTGAGTCTATTATTTCGATACTCAGGTGCTACGTACATTTCATAGAAAAACACACCCCGAAAGCTCTACTGCTAGGAACGAATGTCAAAAGTCCCACAAGTACGTGTTTGAGAATGCTTCTTTTGATTATGATATCGATAATGGACGTGCGATGAACGGAGAGGAAGACCGAATAACGTCTTCTCAGGAGTTCATCTCAAAAGAGGAAATGCATTATTGGAAGACCAACTTAGGCTTGCCTCTCTATGGTGTGGACTCCAGTGTTTTAAGTGCAAACAAAGGGCATTGGATCAAGACTGATGCAGAGTGTAAGCACCATTTAGTATGCACTACTTTGAGGAATCATCTTAACTGTTGAACTGTTAGAGCTTAACCCTTTGATATGTTTGATATCAATTATAGTGACAGCATGCTTCGCTCTTAGTGGAGTCCTAGTGTTACGGCCCAAGTTCACCACCAGCAGATATTGTCCTCTTTAGGCTTTCTCTTTCGGGTTTCCCCTCAAGGTTTTTAAAACGTGTCTATTAGGGAGAAGTTTCCACACCCTTTTAAAGAATGTTTTGTTCTCCTCCCCAACCGATGTGGGATCTCATAATCCATCCCCTTTCGGGGCCCAGCATCCTCGTTGGCACTCGTTCCCTTCTCTAATCGATGTGGGACCCCCCAATCCACCCCCTTCAGAAACCAGCGTCCTCGTTGGTACTCGTTCTCTTTTTCAATCAATGTAGGACCCCTCAATCCATCCCCTTTGGGGCCCAGCGTCCTTGTTTGCACTCGTTCCCTTCTCCAATCGATGTGGGACCTCCCAATCCACCCCTCTTCCAGACCCAGCGTTCTCGCTGGCACTCGTTCCCTTCTCCAATCGATATGGGACCCTCCAATCCACCCCCTTTAGACCCCAGAGTCCTCGCTGACACTTGTTCCCTTCTCTAATTGATGTGAGACCCCCCAATCCACCTCCTTCAGGACCTAGCATCCTCACTGACGCTCGTTCTTTTTTCCAATTGATGTGGGACACCCCAATCCACCCCCCTTCGTGTGGTAAACATACGAAACCTGGGGCTTACAAACTCAAAGAAAATCCAAAACTTGTGAAAGCTTGCACCGCAAGCAGATATTGTCTTCCTTGGACTTTCCCTTTTGGGCTTCTTTTAAAATTTTTAAAACGCGCCTGTTAGGGAGAGGTTTCCACACCGTTATAAAAGGGGCTTCGTTTCCCTCTCCAACTGATATGGGATCTCACATCCCTTTCTTACTGTTCTTTCTGTAGTTCTCAACTATGAAATGAAAATGTCGTTTAATTAAACGATCATTTTAACGTACGTTCTTTTTTCCTTCTCTTTCCATTATAGACTTGGTGTTGGAGCTTTAGGGGAAGAAGAAGATGACCACAAAGGATCAGAATGGTGACCACCTGAAGTCTTCTTTTCCAAACGGTTAAACGATAGCGATAGCGATATCAATATTGTTCGTGTCGTTGTGTTTAAGTGTGATACCGAAACTCTAAGTTGGTTTGTCTTTTGTTGTAAGCTTCTACAAATGCTAGAGTCATTTGCAATTTCCACTCTGAAATGGTTAAGTGTTCTGTTTCCTGTTCATGTACAGTCTAGTACATTACGAACAGAAAATGAAGTTCTTCTCTGAATAAACAAACCCTTTTGAATATCATGAATTCTGGGATCTTTATTTCAAGGATGAAACCAAGATTTCTTGAGCCCCTCAAGAACGACGTAATCGTTAACCGAACTTTCAAAAGTTTTATTAATATAATTAAATCTTTTTAAAAAAACTTTAAGAACACCTTTAAATTTTTTAAAAATTAAAAAAAAAAATAAACAACGTAAGTACACACGTCTTGATATACTTTTAGCTCGTGAACTTTCAAAAATATCCATTTCAAAAAAAAAATAATTAAAAAGTTTTAAAATAATTTATAAGACTTAGATGGATGAATTTTAAAATATTATTAAAAGTTTAAGAATATATTTTAAAATAAAATATTAATACATTTTCATGTAAATTAAGGGCACAAGTATTTTTTTTTTTTAAATTTTAAATTTAAAAGTTGACGGTTAAAAATTTATAGATATTTTTATTAATTTATTTAATTTTTTAAAATATCAAATAATACCGAGATATAGTATATAAATTAAAAGTTTAAGAACTTATTAAAATATAAATTATTAAAGGCGACTTTATAACGTGTACTTGTCAAACCATAATAAATAACTCCATGTGGTTGGGAGAAATAATTAAAATTATTAATTGGCATTAATTATATAAAAATAGTTTTCAAAATTTATTAATTGGTATAGATTATATTTGACATATTTTTTAAATATTATTGAATTATTCTTATGTTTATTATCATATAATATAGCGTAGTATTTAAGACTCGGTCTATTTTATTTACAATTAATTTTAAAAATAAAAAATAAGAAATTATTTTAAAACTAAAAAATATTTTTTAATGATCGAGTGTAGGAGATATAATTTGATCTTCAAATAAACCTGCATCACATGATTATTTATAATATTAAAATTATTTTTTTATTCTTGTGATTAATTAAACTTAATTTTTTAAAAATTTGGATATTATGGAACTATGGAGTTTGTCCTGTTTTTCTTTTGTTAAAATAATTGAAAATTAAATAAAACCTATTAATAAATTAGTAATATATTTAATTAATTGAAATAATTTAGTATAAAAAATTCAACTTTTTATAATGATTTATTCAGTTAAAAATTTTAGTCAGCTTATTTATTAAACATCATAATTGCATTAAATTTATAAAATTTATATCATAAAAAAAAATTATTACTTTATTTTTTTTTTTAATAAAAATTTAAATAAAAACACACACACATAAAACTAGACAATTATAGACCTATCGACACGTGGGATCCACCCAATTTCCGTACACGAGTTAGGTTTAGATTTTTTTTTGGAGTAACTCCAAGTTTTAGACTAGAACAACTCCAATAGAGTTCACTGTTGGATGATGAAAGTCTCACACCGACTAATTTAAGGAATGATCATGGGTTTATAAACAAAGAATACTTCCTCCATTGGTACGATGCCTTTTTGGGAAACCCAAAGCAAAGCCATGAGAGCTTATACTTAAAGTGGACAATATCCATACCATTGTAGAGAGTTATGTTCGTCTAACATTCATAACCCAACTCCCAACTCTCTATTCTTGAATTGGGTTGTCTAGTCAAAATTTTTAAATATTTAGACGGTAACCCTGTTTTCGAATTTATGAGTTAATTCGGTTTTAAATAATAATAATAATAATAATAATTTTTTTTTAATTTAACTCAATTAAAAACTAAAAAAATTTAAGGGTGAGAGAGTTGGGCCGAGTAATTTGGTAAGTTTTGCATTTCATTTTGAAGTGTGGACTATTATGCATAATTGAGGCGAAGTTTCTGCGGCGTCTGGGACCCTTGTGTTTGTATTCAATTCCACTTCTCTGTCTTTGATTTTCTTTATAATCCCATAACGATTGTTCTTCTTTGTTCACGAATTGAAGATCTTCAAAGATGGAGGGGGCTACGAAGAACGTGTTGCTTTCGTCGAATGGGGATGAGATCTCCAAGAATCTGGCTATTCATCTTGCCAAAAGGGGTTGCAGGTTCATCATCAAACTTCAAACTCGGTGGATTTTATGTTTGTTTATTGAGGAAATTGAGAGAAATGAAGGGCGTTAATCAAACTTTTTCGATTTGGGTTCTCTTTTTTGTGTTTGTTTTCCTCTGTATCTGTTGTTGATTCGTGTTTTTCATGGTTTTGTTTAGATTAGTTTTGGTGGGAAATGAAACTGTTCTTCGGAGTATGCGTGAGGGGATTGTGGAATCGTTGAAGGGTGCCCTGCCAATTGGGGTTGTTGGATTGGATATGGAAGGAGAGAGAGAGGCGGCTTTTGATGAGGCTGTGAGCGGCGCTTGTAGTGTTTTGGGAACTTTGGATGCTTTTGTTCATGCTTATTCTTATGAAGGTACAGCCCATCTCTATAGCTTTTTGCCCGTATTTGCTTGTGAGATCTCATGTCGGTTGGAGAGGGGAAGGAAGCATTCCTTGAAAGGAAGCTCGAAAGGGAAAGATTAAAGAGAATAATATCTACTAACGGTGGACTTGGGCCGTTACAAATGGTATAAGAGCTAGGCACTAGGCGCTGTGCTAGCGTGGACACTGGACCTCCAAAGGGGTGGATCGTGAGATCTCAGTTGGTTGGAGAGGGGAACAAAACATTTCTTATAAGGGTGTGGAAACCTCTCCCTAATAGACACGTTTTAAAAACCTTGAGGGGAAGCTCGAAAGGAAAAGCCCAAAGAGAACAATAGCCGGTAGTGGTGGACTTGGGATGTTACAAATGGTATCAAAGCCAAGCACCGGGCAGTGTGCCAGCGAGGACGCAAGGCCTCTAAGGGGGTGGATTGTGAGATCTCACGTTGGTTGGAGAGGGAAACAAAGCATTTCTTATAAGGGTGTGGAGATCTCTCCCTAGTTGACACGCTTTAAAAACCTCTAGGGGAAGCCCGAAAGGGAAAGACCAAAGAGAACAATATCTGGTAGTGGTGGACTTGGGATGTTACAAATAGTATCAGAGCCAAGCACCGGGCGGTGTGCCAGCGAGGAGAGGGGGAGAAAGCATTCCTTATATGGGTGTGGAAACTTCTTTCTAGTAGACGCGTTTTAAAAACCTTGAGGGGAAGGTCGAAAGGAAAAGCTCAAAGAGAACAATAGCTGGTAGCGGTGGACTTGGGATGTTACTAATGGTATCAGAGCCAAACACCGGGTGGTGTGCCAGCAAGGACATTGGGCCTCCAAGGGGGTGGATTGTGAGATCTCACATCGGTTGGAGAGGGGAACAAAACATTCCTTACAAGGGTGTGGAAACCTCTCCCTAGTAGACGCGTGTTAGAAACCTTAAGGGGAAGCCCGAAAGGGAAAGACTAAAGAGAAAAGTATCTGTTAGCGGTGGACTTGAGCTGACATGACTGATATGTGTTCAAATACTACGATGTAGTGAGTTATATAGTTCTTGGTTTAGTTGTTTTAGTTTCTTATATTACTTTGTTGTTGAATCTTCTATGAATATAGGGTTAAGGCTCTTGTTCAAGCTTAGGCTATATCATTCTGACTAGTCTGAATCATCTGCTCATAGTTTCTGGTAAACTCGTTGATTGTTTACAGGGATTGGTTTTCTTGAGTGTGCTTGGAATTGAAGTTAGAAGGGTTTTCTAATGAGAATTTATGTTTAAAATCTTCTTAGGCTTTGGGGCTAGGCTCAAATGGTCCCAAGCTTACACCTTTGCCTGTGTTACAAGAGGCATTTGTTGCTTTTTGAGCCTTTGAGAGGTCCACAGAAGCTCGAGGCTTGGAATGTCGATGCCTCGTGTAAGAGTCAAAAGAATAATGTTAGCTTGTTTTCTATTCACTAAAATATTGGTATGTATCATTTAGAGAAAAAGAAACAATTCTGCAATGTGGATCTTAGTCTTTTAAAACATTCGTAAGAATAAAAATGTGAGATCTCACGTCGGTTGGAGAGGGGAACGAAGCGTTATGAGTGTGGAAACCTCTCTCTTGTAGACACGTTTTAAAAACCTTGAGGGGAAACCTGAAAGGGAAAGCCCAAAGAGGACAATATCCGCTAGCAGTGGGTTTTGGCTATTACAAATAGTATCAAAGCCAGTCATCGGGCGGTGTACCAGTGAAGACACTGGTCCCCAAGGGGGTGGATTGTGAGATCCCACATCGGTTGGAGAGAGGAACGAAACATTCCTTATAACAAATTCCTTATAACGAATTCCTTATAAGGGTGTCGAAAACTCTCCCTAGAAGACACGTTTTACAACCATGAGGTTGACGACAATATGTAACGGGTTAAAGCAGACAATATCTACTAGCGGTGGGCTTGAGTAGTTACATCATTCCTTTCTGTCAAGTCTGTCAAGCCAGTTTAGACAATGCTTCGTATAGAACTTGTATTGTAAAATTTAGTGCCATCCACAATTGTCTGCTTATTGATCTTTGGTTTACATTTTCTTCAAGAATAATACTCAGCCATGCTATTGGATGGTGATACTTGGGATGAACAACTTCTTTAAAAGCTCTTCTACTGTAAGTTGTGTTTACTGCACTGCATTTGAAGCAGGTCCCATACAAGAGGTTCTGCAACTATCTGAAGAGGAATTCAAAAAGATTGTTAAGATAAATATGATGGCTTCATGGTTTCTGATGAAGGCGGTTTGTCGAAGAATGCGCGACCAGAAATCGGGAGGTTCGATAGTTTTTTTATCCTCCTTAATCGGTTCCGAGAGAGGACTGTATCCAGGAGCAGCTGCATTTGGATCATGCTCAGCAGGATTACAGCAGTTAGCTCGAGTAAGTAATTGTTGTTCTTCTTCTTCTCTGTATTTTTGCATCATAATTTGTTTGAGTTATCCAAGCTTCAAGCTTCATCTTCCTAAGTTAGCACCTTAGTATACGTCTTTGAAGTACCTTGACGTTGAAAGATGTGTGTGAGATCTCACATCGGTTGGGGAAGAAAACGAAACATTCTTTATTAAGGTATGGAAACCTCTCTCTAGTAGACGCGTTTTAAAAACCCTGAGGGGAAACCTGAAAGGGAAAGCTCAAAGAGGATAATATCTGCTAGCGGTAGGCTTGAGCTATTACAAATGGTATTAGAGCCAGACACTCGGCGACGTGCCAGTGAGGAGGCTAAGTCCCCAAGGGGGGTGGATTGTGAGATCCCACATCGATTAGGGAGAAGAATGAAGCATTCTTTATAAGGGTGTGGAAACCTCTCTCTAGTATACGCATTTTAAAAACCTTGAGGGTAAACCTGAAAGGGAAAGCTCAAAAATGACAATATCTGGTGGCGGTAGGCTTGAGCTGTTACAAATGATATTAGAGCTAGACACCAGGCAATGTCCCGGTGAGGAGGCTGAGTTCGAAAGGGGGGGTGGACATGAGGCGGTATGCTAGTAAGGACGTTAGGTCCTGAAGGGAGGTGGATTGTGACATGAGGCGGTATTCTTTGTAAGGGTATGGAAACCTTTCTCTAACAGACACGTTTTAAAAACCATAAGGAAAAGCCCGAAAGGGAAAACCCAAAGAGAACAATATCTGTTAGCGGTGGACCTGGGCTGTTACAAATGGTATCAGAGCCAAACACTGGGCAATGTGCGAGACTGAGTCCCGAAGGGGGGTGGACATGAGGTGGTGTGCCAACAAGAACGCTGGGCCCTGAAGGGGGTGGATTGTGAGATCCCACATCGGTTGGAGAGGGGAACAAAACATTCATTATAAGGGTGTGGATACCTCTCCCTAGTAGACACGTTTTAAAAACCTTAAGGGGAAGCTCGAAAGGGAAAGCCCAAACGAGACAATATTTGCTAGTCGCGGGGCTTAGGCTGTTACAATACGTGTGATAGTATTTTCCTTTTCATGATGTTCAGAAACAATCCAGCTGATATTCTCGTGCGGTCATATCAGCACGTGGTTTTCCGACTTTTTAAATCATAGATACTTGATATGATATGATATGAACGTCCCGGATAAATTTTCTGGCTGGATTTTTTTAGACTGCAGCTTTGGACGTTGGAAAGTATAAGATCAGGGTGAATGCCATCTCCCGTGGATTGCACCTAGATGATGGATACCCTATATCAGTGGGGACGGAGAGAGCAAAGAAGCTAGTCAAGGATGCAGCCCCGCTCGAAAGATGGCTCGATATTAAAGACGATTTAGCTTCAACTGTGATATATCTAATCAGTGACGGGTCACGGTACATGACCGGGACAACCATATTTGTCGACGGGGCACAGTCTCTAGTGAGGCCACGGATGCGCTCGTATATGTAGTTCTTCGTGCTCGGACAGCCTTAGGTGAGAACAACACCCATTACTTACACTCACAAGCTATGGTCTGCAAAAACATGCTTCCTTGGATGAATTGCTTAAGATTTTATTTTCATTGATTCTGCAGGAATAACGTCGCGGTGAGAGGTTCTTGATTCACTCCGACCGACCGTGATTGTGGTTTTCTACAAATGCTCGTGAATAAAGTTGTTGGATGTGCAAGAAGATTCGAGGATGACAAGATTTAAACCTCTGATCTTTTATTTTACCACGTATGTTTAAAATGCACAGATTTGGATTTTTAGAAACTAATGTTTCGAATAAAACGTTTAATTTACTTAGAATCTAATCTTTTAGAAATTTAAATTATATCCAAATTTAGTACGAGATATTGTATTCCTCCCTCCTAAACCGTTGGATTTGTGAGGTAGATAGATCCGACGGTAAAATTGCTGCTGCTTATTACAATTTATAATCTTTCGATCTAATACCAAGTCCGATAACAAACACGAGGAGCGCCTCAAAATAGCATTGACAACCTTAAGAACAATACATATATATCAAACTTTTAAGTTTCGACTTTAGATACGGTGTCATAGGTTGGCGTCTCAAAAGACCTTGCAAACATAGAGCAGGTGACCAAGTGGTCTCACGTGACTACCACCGTTGAGGTGCGTTGTTTATTGAGGTTGGTAAGTTACTATCATTGGATTCAAGATTGGATTCAAGATTTTACCAAAATAACTATACCTCTAACCAAATGTTGGTTACAACATTAATACTGGTTGAGCATGACGAAGCATGAGTCATCGTCTATGTTTTTCAACATTTGTAACAGCCCAAACCCACCTAGTAGATATTGTCTGCTTTGACTCGTTACGTATCACTATCAGCCTCACGATTTTAAAATACGTGTGTCGAGGAGAGGTTTTCAAACCATTATAAGGAACGCTTTGTTCCCCTCTCTAGCACATGTGAGATCTCACAATTCATAAATATTTTATTTATTTGGACCCGATCCGACTCAAATAAGTCTATAACCCGACCCAAATATAAGAATTAAGTTGGATTGATCGAATTAAGTTGGATTGAGTGAGGAAATGGTTTTGATGTCTCTTAGTCTCTTTAGAAATGATTTGAAAAGCTTAACTTTTGGACTTTTGATTATCTTTACTTCTAGTCTCCATTTTCGGGTCATTCCTTGCTTGATTCTAATCTATTCAATGGGTTTTTATATCGAAAAACGCTCTAAAACTTGAAGAATCAAATAGGTACAGATCTCATTCGAAGCTTAAACATAAGCTCGAATCTTTTCTTTTTGATGGAAGATTGAATTTTTGAAATTTTAGGTTATCCCTAAATTCATATCAAAACTTGTTCTTGTAAAAGCTATACGTAAAAGAAAACGTCATACAAACAAAGTCGTATAGGTTCCAATGATGAACGAGGAAGCCATTGTGTCAAAAATCAAGAACACAATTCAAGTTCAATCATTTGAATCTTTTTAGAAAATATTTGAGGTAGCTTGGTGATTTCTTATTCAACCGAGACTAGATCGCTTTACGAATTATCCATGTTTTTTCACTAATGTGTGCTTCGATTAAGAAGCTCATACAAGTTTAATATTTTAATTGAATGGCTACTTTCAAGTTGATACTCGAAAACCGTAGAACAGACACGTGATTAAGATTTCTTTAGTTCAAGCAAATAACAATATATGAAGTGTGGAGATTTGAAGTTGTAACAACCGAACATTTGTAACAGTCCAAACCCCATCGCTAGCAGATATTGTCCTCAGTCTCACCGTTTTTTAAAACGCGTTTGGTTGGGAGAGGTTTCCATACCCTTATAAGTAATGATTCGTTCTTCTCTTCAAGAGATCTAAAATCTGAAATAAGGGTTTCACCATTAAAAATTTATGTATCTACCAGTTGAGCTATGCTTAAATTGATAAATTATTTTCATTTTTTTAGGGACGGTTGTCATTTTCATTTTTTTAGGGACGGTTGTCATTTTCATTTTTTCAGTGAAGGGTGCCTAGCTCTAAATCCAATTATAACAGCTCAAGCCCACCGCTAGCAGATATTGTCCATTTTAGCCCGTTACATATTTCTGTCAGTCTCACGATCTTAAAACGTGTCTACTATGGAAAGGTTTCCACACCCTTATAAAGAATGTTTCGTTCTCCTCTCCAACTGATGTGAGATCTCACAATCCACCTTTGGGTACCCAGCATCCTCACCGGCACACCAAATGGTATCAGAGCCAGACATCAAACAATGTACCAGCGAGGACGTTGGACGCACAAGGAAGGTAGATTCTGAGATCTCACATCGGTTGGAGAGGATAACTAACCACTCCTTATAAGAATGTGAAAATCTCTTCCTAGTAGACACGTTTTAAAATCGTGAAGCTAACAACGATACATAACAGATCAAAACAGACAACATCTAGTAGTGGTGAACTTAAGCTGTTACTACTCAACAAGTTAACGAACCGAAGTTAGAATATTTGTTGTGTAAGTATCATCTCTTATGTCATGATAGCTAGAGTTGAAAGCTCATAAAAGAAAGAAGAGATTCGAGATGGGTCATAATATCTCTAGAAGTTGGTCGTGGTTGAATGGAAGAAGAAAAGACATGAGAGAAGGGTTATTTTTTGTCTTTTTGGAGTTGCCAATGGTTTGTCTCATTACATTTATGGGAGCCAAAAAAGTTAAAAAGGGAAATTCAAAGTGGGTCAATTTAGAACATTGGAATAATATTAATTATTTTTTTATTATAAAGTCGAGAGACCAACTTAAAATAGCCTACCATATTAATATTCAATATGTATCCAAATAATTTGAGGAAGGGGCCGCCGCCGACACTTATAAATCATGTTTTACTAATTCATGAATTTCTCCAAATTATGATTTTTTGTGGATTGTAATTGAAAGTATTAATTATACGAAGAAAAAAATGATTTAGCGAAAAATGATCTAAGAGTCTGATCGAGAGCCATATTAAAATGAAAGGATGGGTTGTTTACGTATGCCCACGAGTCTAATCAAGCATTGGCTAGCTGTGAAGAAGATGTGCGAGACAAAATATAGAGAATGGTCAGACTTTTGTGATCTATGACATTTTAATCGATGGTTGTTGGCTAAATAAGGATGAAGGGTCGTTGAAAACCGAAACTGACTTGTGAACGAGACATTGGATATTTTAGTGGGTATTCACGTGATGAACCGAATAATTTGGATTAGATAATCCAAATTATAAGAATTGAGTAGGATATTGAGTTGAATTTTTAGAAAATTGATGTAACGACCTAGATCCACCGCTAGCATATATTGTCTATTTTGGACTTTCCCTTGCAGGATTCCGCTCAAGGCTTTAACACGCGTCTTCTAGGAGAAGGTTTCTACACCCTTATAAATGGTGGTTTGTTCTCCTCCCCAACCAATGTGGGACATCACAATCCAGCCCCCCTTCGGGGCCTAGCGTTCTTGCTGGCACTCTTTCTTTCCTCCCATCGATGTGGGACCGCCCCTAAATCCACCCACTGGGCCCCGAAGGGGGGTGGATTGTGATGTCCCACATTGGTTGGGGAGGAGAACAAACCACCATTTATAAGGGTGTGGAAACTTTTCCCTAGTAGACGCGTTTTAAAGCCTTGAGGGGAAGCCCGACTAGTGATGCATTGTGACTTGTTTAATGTTTGATATTGGAGCTTTATGAGATTTTAATTATTAATATAACATGTATCGTGCATAAATATAATTTCTTTAAACAATAAAAAAAAAATCGTGCATAAATATAATTTCTTTAAACAATAAAAAAAAAATCGTGCATAAATATAATTTCTTTAAACAATAAAAAAAAAAATCGATAACCCAGGTTGGGTTAGGTTGTGAACTTTATTCAAGTTACTCAGATCACCAACCGTAACATCTCACATTGGTTGGAGAGGGAACGAGGTTGTGAACTTTATTCAAGTTACTTGATCACCAGCCGTGGCATCTCACATTGGTTGGAGAGGGAACAAAACATTCTTTATAAAGACGTTAGGTTGTGAACTTTATTCAAGTTACTCAGATCACCAACCGTGACATCTCACATTGGTTGGAGAGGGAACGAGGTTGTGAACTTTATTCAAGTTACTCAAATCACCAGCCGTGGCATCTCACATTGGTTGGAGGGGGAACAAAACATTCTTTATAAAGACGTGGAAATCTCTCCTTAATGGTGATACATAACAAGCCAAAATGGACAATATCTGCTAACGGTGAGCTTGAGCTATTACACCAACCCGAAACTTTTGGTTGGTCCATAAGTTTCTTCCAACCCAACTCAACTCAATGTATCTCTATCTCATGAGAGCAACAAGAAGAAGAAACAGTGATAATCCAAACTCCTATAGATCATGCACTCGATCCATCCATAGGATCAGAGATTCAAAGAATCGAGTAAATAACCTTTTTTTCTTTGTAATGGAACTCTAAATCCAGACCACGTGAACTCGTATAACTCCCGACCTCTATCAATAGTGGCAAAAAAGTCATGAAATTATTTTATACGTCAAGAAAATTTTCTACACAAAAATTCGAACATAGAGGCTAAGGTATTGACCAAAAGACTTTATAATTTAGAAAATATCGACATATCTATAGAAATTTCACACGACAATGATCATAACACGAATGCTAATAATTTAATAAATTATATATATTAAATGAAATAAATCTTTAATGCCACGTGGCAGATTCTGCATGAATTTATGACTTCAAACAAAGTTGGCATGCAAGAATGGACTCTTGATAATTGTGTTTTGAGGATAATATTTATAATTTAATTATTATTTTTTTCTTTTTTTTCCCTCTATTTTCTTTTTATTTTTTTTTATTTTTATATATTTATATTTATTAATTTTGACCAATGGACTTTGACTAAAAATAACAATCGAGAAATGTGCCACACAATCTTCAGACAAATAAATTAAATATATATATATATATATTTGAGCGATTAATTTAGTGAATAAAATATTAATTATTATTTTAAAAGATTAATGGTTGCATTAATTAATATTTATTGAACGTATGAAGACTATATTTATTTTTCTAAAGCTTGATTAGTTTTAATTAAACTCGATTTGATCCTTTGATTAATTATATTTACTTACCATTTGTTTTAATTCTAAGAACCAGGGTACGTAATTGTGTAACTTTATTGACTTAGTGGTTAAGTCTAAGAACGGTCTAGAAAGAACCATCCACATGGGTTGACCAACAAGCCAACCCAAACTCGAGTTGACCCACATAGGTCGACTAGGGCATCAGATACTAACCCACTTAGATTAG